CCCCGTAGCATAACGACGTCAGCGTCAGTAAGAATACTGGGTTCGCCATGGGATGTGATTTCAGGATTCGGCCATCTCCTAATAGGTCGCCTCCAAAACCTCGAGTCATCGATGGCGTTTCTTCCTACAATTTTATCCCCTTCGCTGTCATTTAGACGAATTTTCAGCCGTTCAACAAACACTGGATCCCATCGGTTATACTCAGATAATAACTCCAACTCCCCGGAATGGACCATGTTAATCATCATCACGTCCAACTCGTCGTCACCCGAAGACGCCCAAGATACACTCATGATGTCGAGAAAGAGAAAGAAAAGTCGGGGTAAATAAATGAAATACGATGAAGAATTCTTACCACAAGAAGTCGTTCGTGAATCTGAAGTGCTTTGAGTACGGTTGAAAAGTGATTAATTTGCAAAGAAAGCCGAAAAGATGAGTGCAAGAAGAAGATGAAAGTAAAGTAGATCTCAAAAGAAAAATTCCTATTTATATCAAACCCTAGATTTGAAAGCGACCGTTGGGAACCGATGGGAATAGGGGCGCGTGGATTACACGTTATGGATCTGCGAGTCGACGCGACCCTTGGAAATCGTGCCTCTTTATAACAACTACGTGGCCTATTTTAAGTGACCGTTATCCCTATGAATAAAACGATGCAATTAATTTCAATAAAGTGTGCCGTTTCAACTTTTAAGTATCATTTCTACAAGTGTGAAGACATCGGATACAGATGATGGAACCGACATGTCACGTTAATACGGAAATTTAGTTACGTCCTGTTAAAGCTTCAGCATCACTGCCCGTCTTCCGTCCAGACGACCATTAATGCTGGGGGCCACCTTGTTGATATCATTTTCAGTAAGCTAAATTAAGTGACGTTAATCCGCCGATTGGGGTCAGTATAAGGATAATCAAGATTCATGCAAACACGTGACGCTTCCACCGACTTCAAGACGACTGCACGATGAAAGATTCAATAAGAACCGACATCTCCATTATTTGACCGATATCACATGTCGGTCAACACATGTCGGTCATTACATGTCGGATACAACATATCGGTTATAATTGGATGAACCGATATCTATAACATGCCACCTCAGCATTGTAAGGCGGCGGCAACTCAGCATAAGTCATCATTACGTTTGTTCAAGTGGCGAGTTATCAAGAAAAGCAGCTAAGAACCGCCTTTGACCTTTCAAAATGTAATGATTACCGTACGGATAAACGTTGTACTTAAATATAAAAGGAGAAAAACAAATCTCCAAGGGACAAGAGACAATAATAAGACTTTACTACAAACATTCCATCTCCTTTTACAATATACCAGTTCTTATCGTTGACTATTTGATTGTACTCTAAATTTACTACAATCAGACCGTTGTTAATTCCCGTTTGACAACAATAATATAATAAATTTTATATTCAAGTTAAATCAATTTTATTAAGTATAAATAACATAAGATAAACTTGTGGTATTTTTCCATACATAAATTTGAACAATTCATATTAAAAAAAAAAGTAAAAAAAATAGGTGTAAACTTCTAACTGTTCTCACGTTTTGGCTAGAGCGCCCAAATCCGATATATGTTTGACACGAGTTTGTAGTAATGCTGAAACTATGACAAATGCACCTTAGGGTACAAACGAAGCGAAGCAATGTGAATATCATAGATAAACGGAAAGGCTAGGCCAGAGAAAGAAAATGAAATAACATTAGCTATGTGAAGTCAATCACTGCTGCAAAATGAACCCTATAATGGTGGTACCATATATGTATTCAGTGATTATGGAAATGACTTAGTTAATTAATATTTTATCAAACACTGGAAAAAAATCTAAAACTTTTTAATCTAATAATTCGTATAAAAAGTACAATTTTATCAAATATATTAAATTACATTTAATCTTATGTGATTATATTAATTGTGGCCTAATAAATAAGATATTTTGATACCATCATTATATAAAACACATACAAAAAATAACATAATACGTATAAATGTGCTTTAGTTACTTAGCAAATAAAATATTATTTGTCTATAGAATAAGAAACAAATAATATAATAGTAATGCAATGAGAAAAAGAAAACATGCTAATTTTCTGAGAAAAGTATGAATGCCAATATTTACAAACAAACGTCTTTTAAAATTACTACTTTTTTGTTGCTAGCGTTTAAATATATGGACTCTGTAAGAAATTGGTTCTAATAAATAATGATCATATATTATTTATTTTAAATTTTAAATAATTAAAAAATCTAAAAATTTGTATACATGATGTATTCTAATCATGACTCCATAATAATAAACTTTACAAATGACTAAAAGTATCGTCATATAATAGAATTCTAATTCTTCTGTTGTCAAATATTTTAACAAATGATATGCTTCTCAATATTTTCTCATTGTTTTGTTTTATCATTGCAAAAAATAGGTTATATTGTTCGTCTATATTCTAGATAAATAACACTGAAAATGAAATGTAAGAGTATCAAAACGGTTTTGAATGTTAGAATTAAGTTGTCACTTTTTATAGAAATATTTATAATCTCATTGGTGTATTGTGTTTGAACATATGTGCAATTACTTTAGAGGTACTTTCAGGTAATGTGTGATGATTTCAAAAAATAATTTAGCACCTCGAGAGAAATACATGTAACCAAGATTTTGGAAAGTCAGCTTTTATTTGGAGATAAAATTCATTCTCACCTCATGAGGCGATGCATCAATGGGGTAAACACCAATATATCTAGAGATAGAGGAATGTAATAGTTTATACAATGTTGAAAAAATATCAGCAATTTTAGTGACACCGTTAGTTATTTCATATAGATATTTATCCTTTGTTAGTAGAAGTACATGAACTAATAATAGAGTATAAATAAGAAGTACCTTGTTATAAAGATCATACAATCATGAAGTTTGGCTATATGTTGGGTCAGAATGTTTCTTAAGTGTTTGAATAAAATTGGCGTTTTGCCAAATTAATTAAGAAGAATTTTGCAATAGTACTGATGTATTGGACTCCAACGACTATGAATGTTCTTATGAGAACGTTAAAACTAAATTGAAAGAAAATTTTTGTGTTTTTTCTATTACGAATTTGTTATATATATATTTTTGTTGGGGTTTGTAAAACGTTATTTCACTATTTTTATGTGAGAACATCATTATATTAATTCTAAATAAAAAAAATCACATATGAGTTCATTTTTTCTATATTTTATTTCATTTATGCAATGATATGTTTAATAAATAAATTAATTTATTTTACAAACTTACTCCGCGAAAATCATTCGACACCACGTGCATCGCACGTGCACTTTACTAGTTTTTATTAAAAGCACAAGATCTTCTTACTTGCTCTTTATCCGACTCAAAGTCAATATCATCCTCATTAGCTTGTTCTCCCTTGATTCATAATCCACTTGTTCAAGATCTTTCAATCTTGACGTGTCACCATCAACCCCCTCATCTTGATCGTCTACTAATCATGGGATAATCTTCTCCTGTGTCTTATTTGTCTCACTAGGAAGTAACACAACTTTTTCATTCCTCCATTTGTATTTGTTTTATAAGCGCGATTTGAATTGGACATAAACTAGATTGTTTAATCGTGAAACATCTAGGCGACAACAGAGAAGTCTTTTATTTGTAAAAAATTATGACTCATGATCGTCTTTTATTTGTAATTGTAAACACACTTTCAGAGAAGTCGCAGGGCCAACGTGAAATTTTGAGCACTTGTGCACCTTCCCCACAGCTCTTTTTTGATGGTATTTGGGCAAAAAAAAAAAAAAGACGACGATATAGGTATTATCCTTGGCATAGTGTAATTTTTGGTCAGTCAAGGATATTTTGGTACGAATTGTCAAATAATGGGGGCAAAAACAACTTTTACATTTTAGTTTAGGGTGTGATTGTATATAAATTCAATAGTAAAAAATTCAATCAAAACTCAAATTTAACTCAATTTTAACTCTATCCCACTATCTTCAATATTAATAATATAATTAAATAATATCAACCAATCATTCTTACACATCACATCAACTTTAATTCACTATTCATCCACTCACATAATTCTAACTAACTATCACTTCCAATCATTTTTCTCCTACTTTAAATCAAATCAACTTTAATTATTTTACTTAAATATTATTTTAATATATCTACTAACAACTAACCACACCACCTTTTTTTCAAAATTAACTATAGTTGAAAATAAACTAAATAAAAACTAGTTTTTTTACTATTGAAACTATAAACAATCACCACCTTAGTGTTGGATACAAAAAATCACATGGACAGCACAAGATTAATTAATACCCGAAAACCAAGATTCATGCTATCTTAGTCACGGGCTGTGCCTAATCCTGCGGGCCAGAGTCTTGCAACACAAACGCCGGAGTCCGGGACTAGGAGTTTATCCTATCCAGTGAAGCCTATCAAACACGCCCTTACCGGCTAATGGCAGTGGCCTTCCACCGGAAATTTGACCAACTGCGAGGGGCTAACTAGTAATCTAATTCAAGAGCCTTTATGATATCTGCAACAGCCTCTCCATTCCAATCCATCCACCACAAGAAAAAAGTGCTAATCAGACAATAAAGAGTCTTTTTTCATTAGTTCTCTTCGAAAAAAAAAAAAAAAAGCAACTGTTGCTTTCTCCAAAACAAGAACAATAAAGAATGAAAAAAAATCTCAGATGGGTTTATTCGATTTCCCTTTTCCGCGGGTGCTTTTTGTACATATCGGGTTTTAGGTAATCTCTAGTAATTTTCATCTCTCTCTCTTTTTGACTGTTAAGAAGCAACTTTGTAGTGTTTTGTTTATGTTTGGCTTTTGATTTCGTGCCAGTTTTGAATACCATTTGTTGTTGTTGTTGTTGTTGTTGTTGTTTTCTTTTATTTTCTTTGTGGGGTTTAATAGACGAGAGTGTTCTCAGTGGCCGAAGGTGAAGACGCCATTTCTATTCGGCTATTGGACTGCGAAGGATGTCGCAAACTAATTGGGAAGCTGACAAAATGTGAGCTTTTTTTTTTTTCAGTAATCTTTCGTTGCCATTGTCTCTGAAAGTTCCTAGTTTTCTTGTACTCTATGTTGGCTTACAGTTACATCTCCAGCTTCTGGGTGGAGCTTCCTGTTTTTGTTGCACTGTTCTATCTTTCTCGCCGACTTCGAATTTGTTTCCTTCTGTAATTTTGGGCCCTGTGAATTTCGATAAAAAATTGCATCCCTACTTTAGAGTTGTGTCTTTAATGCATTTGTGTTTCTGAGTTCATGGTTTTTGTATCACTGAAGAGTATTTTTTACCCCTAGAATGTTCTTTTTGGTTATTGATTGTGCCCTTTACACATGTTCTGCTTGATGGGCACTTATAGTTCCATTCTACCGTCCTGAAGTTTGTATTGATTTGATTTCGATGGCACCATTGGGGTTTTATCCGTTCCTCTTTTTCTCTTTTGTATATGATATGGAGATATTATTTTACTCTGGCATGATCTGTAAAGGGACATAAGTTCTCTTTGATTTGAATTTCTTATTTTTTAGGTTGGATGTCTATATCCATGATTATTTAGTGAAGAGAGATTTGAAGGCCACAGCTCAGGCTTTTCAAGTTGAAGGGAAAGTAGCATCTGATCCTGTTGGTATGTATATATTGGAAGCTTTTTACTTAATGAATTATGACCTTCCTGTACATTAAGGTTTTAAGTTTTTCCTTTTTTTTTTTTAATTATGTTTTCGGGTTGCACGTTTCAGCTATCGATGCACCTGGTGGTTTTCTGTTTGAATGGTGGTCCGTCTTTTGGGATATATTCATTGCCAGGACTAATGAGAAGCATTCTGAAGTTGCTGCCTCGTATATTGAGGTCTGGTTGAAACTGAAATGATTTAATTATCAACTTTGACTTCACTTTTGTCTCACATAGACTTGCTGCTTTACTTTTTAATTGAAACATAAAGTACAATGAGCTATTAGCTCAAGTGGTACTTCACATCCTTTTACAAGGGCGTTGAATTGATCGATACGTGTTTCGATCTCTGTACCTCGCGATCGCACATTTCCTCACAAATTCTCCTACTCATTCACTCACACAAGTCCAGTTGCTATTTCTATAACCAATAATAAATATCCATTGTTACATGTTGATCCCATGTCATATCATTTGGGATATCTTTTTTAACAGAGAATGCTCGTGGGGAAACTCTTGAAACGAAATGATGACTTTAAAGAATGTGGTAGAAATGATGAAAATTGATAAACAATTATTTTACTGATGGTTAAGACCATGCCAATGAGTGCATAGCATAGTTTGTCGAAAAAGTGAAATAATAAACGTGGTCTTTCTTGAAATGTTGTGCACATGCAATTGGGAAGCTAGAAAGTTTGATTGAGCACATCACTTATTTAAACTGTGGATATATTTGTGGAAAATTAGATGAAGTATGAAACATATCGCATCAAAGCCCTGAACTAATATTTTGCTTAAAAAGACTCAGTTAATGAAGGCTCGAGAGCAGCAGCACCAGCAACAGCAGCAACAGCCGTCACAGCCCCAGAATTCACAACAGCACCAACAACAGCAGATTCAGCTTCTATTACAAAGACAAGCTCAACAGCAACAACAACACAATCAACAACAACAACAACACAATCAACAACAACAGCAACAGCAGCAGCAACAGCAACAACAACAACAGGGTCATCAGCAGCAACAACAAAGGCGCGAGGGAGGTGGACACGTCATGAATGGATCGGCCAATGGAATTGTGGGAAACGAGCCACCAATGAGAAGGAATACTGGTGGTACTGCAAATGCGTTGGCCACGAAGATGTATGAAGAGAATTTGAAGAGGGATTCTTTGGAGGATGCTGCTTTGAAGGTATGCGATTTTTACGTGTGTGGGTGTGGAAGGCTGAGAAGCTTTTGATACCCGTTACTGAGGTTTGATTTTTCTTTTAATTTTGGTTTTCAGCAAAGGTTTGGTGATAATGTGGGCCAGCTTTTGGATCCAAATCATGCGGCCATCTTGAAATCAGCTTCAGCCTCTAGCCAGCCATCTGGGTATGCTTGTTTCTGTTGAATAAGTATGATTGTATTGTATGTATTTTATGAATACAGTTTTTGGCGTTCTCCTTTCGGTTGTTCTATGTGTTAGATGTCTAGTGGTACATGTGCATTGATGTTCCGGAATGTTGTATGCTTTTAGCCTAAACTGAGTGTTAGAGTTCTCTTCTTCTCGGGAGTATTATATTTATTTTTGTTCTTATCTTTTTTTTTTCCGATAAATTTTTGTTAGTGTCAGTAAAATTAAGTTCATATAATCTTCGCCATCCTTTTCCTTGGTTGAAAGCTCTGATCTTTATGTCCCTGCTTCTCATTTTGGCAGGCCAATGTTGCACGGTGCTGCTGGTGGAATGTCTTCACAAGTTCAAGCACGGAGCCAACAATTTCCAGGGTCTACAGCAGTAAGCATTTTCCTTATAAGACTCTTTCTTACAAATAGATACTTGTCAGTTGTGCTTGGATTTACCTACGTGCATCAATGTTATCCATACATATGTGTATGTGCGTGTGTATACATAAACAGGATATCAAAGCAGAAATAAATCCTATCCTGAATCCAAGAGCTGCGGGCCCCGAAGGATCACTGATTGGAATCCCTGGTATTCCACTATTTGTTGCCTTCAAGTAACCTATTTTTAAAAAAAGTAGATACTAACATTTTTTCATGAAAAAGAAAACTGAGTAATTGCGATATGTTGATTGTATTCAAGACATGGCAAAATGATAAATTTGGATCGAAATGAGCAGTGTTGGATCGAGAAATAGTCTTCTGTACACCGTGGAATCTTGTTCTCTGTAAATTTTGCTAATGTTCCTTTCTAAATCTTAGGTTCGAATCAAGGAAATAACAATTTGACGCTGAAAGGTTGGCCTTTAACAGTAAGTACAATGTACTTTAATAGGTTTACTTATCATTTTGCCTCTGGCCATCTTTGCTTTTTCTTTCTTTTACGTGTGTTTGCGCACGCATGCTAAATTGCAAATTGCGACAACATTTATGGAGAAGTTCCATAATTTTCCTTCTTCACATGTAAAATATTTGGAAAATTCCTTCTATATTTCTCCCCCTCAAATTTTGGGCAGAATGAAACATCTTTTTATTTGTTTATTCATAATAACTGCACTTGTTTGGATATCTTGTAACTACCTCAAAATCCCCCCTCCCTTTTTTTTGTTTTTTTTTTTTTTTTTTTTT